CTTAGTCACTAATCGCTGTAACTCAAAAACTACGCAACGTACGAACTTCAAATTTGGAATAGAGGTTCTTCTCATATTTTTACCGTGCATGTTTAAAGGATTTTCAAAAATGTCGCGTTTTAGTGGAGTAATTAACAACTATATTTACTCATCGTCAATACGTATTGTGCTGCACGGCACGGGCTCATGGAGTCATGGCAGCCCTCAGGTTTCCAGCTACCTGCAACCTATCCTTTTTGTCCGAAGGTCAACAATAAGAATTGTTCCGAGAAGTTTATAGATAAAAATAATCTCATGTATCTCGAGTACACCAATTTAAATACTTAAAACAAAAAAATTTGAATACTTAAATTATAATACAATTTTAATACTTAATACACCAATATAATATACTAATATACTCCTATTATATAATAATCGTTAAACGATAAAATGCACACCGATAACATAAACCCATACAAATTCTATTTATGAGTTATCTCTCTATTATTGCCTTGCCACGGTCACGGTGTCTATACACTATAGTACTATACGGTACCTATACATTCTTATGGGCATGCGAACAAAATATATTCATTTCATTTGCTCGCCGTACTTCCAGCAGTTCGGACACGCGTGACATATTCCAACATGGCACACGACTTCAACTTCCTAATTTTACATAAAAATCTAATTGAAGAAACTATCTGTACAGGCTGCGGTATGGGAGAAACAATTTTAATACCTTTGATTCCATCTGACTACCACTTTCAATTCAAACGGCTACAGTTTCCCGTTGAGGTATGTTTTGCCACGACAACATTAGCAAAGCGCAAGGACAGTCTTTGAAAGTGGCAGGAGTGAATTTAAGGATAGACTGTTTCTCCCGTGGCCCGAAGGACAAACCAAAAATATTGTATACAAGAAGGTATTGTGAAAAATGCAAAACGGCTTTGCACAAAAAGACTATTTTGCACATCACCATGATGTTACCCATAATATATTCTAAAATAATATTGTAAATATGAAAAAAACAAAATACACATGTGGCTACAATGTTATAATTTATACTTAAAAAGACTTGCTTCCTCCAGTGTTTTACAGTTTTACACTTAAAAGGAGTTTTTCCGGGCAACGTCCGGTAATTCAGCTATAGTATTATCATAGAAACAAGTGGTAACGTGTAACAAAGCATGCGATGAGTGACCTGCAAGAGTTAAGTCCAATTATTAATAACAAAATAATATAATTATATGAAATACCAGTTACCAAATGGTTGTTATACAATAACTCGTTTAAAATATTTCAAATAATTATTGTTGCCTGCAGGCCGTGGGCTGTGGCCGGAGCCGGGCGCGGCAATGCGAATGCCGGTCGCCGGTTCTCTAATAGTCTAATCTATACTGTTCTATTACTGTCCGCCAGACCGGCGGATGTCGTTGCGGCGTTGCCGAGTGGTCAGTACGAAGCGTCGGCAAAAGGATAACAGGCAGAGCCAGACTGCCCTTCTACAGTGTACAGTAAAAAGTACTATAGAGTACACTACTAGACGGTCGTAGACTATACCTCGTACTACCGTAGAACACTGTACAACAGTACACTATAATAGTACTAGTTGTACTACAGTACGGAGAGTCCATGGTCGTGTAGTAGTGTCTGGTACTCCCAAGTCTAATAACTCTAAAGTGTCTAGCCGGCAGTCATTTTGTCTTTGAAAAGTAAAAAAAAAAAAACTATTAAGCCAGTGTTACCAATGTTCAAATTAAAGTTTTGGGGGACCACTTCTGACAGTAGAAAACATAATGCAATAAGTCAAATCTACATTCTATACATCGTGTGATACGTCTTGACTGTTGAGACTCGAGTGTTGATATTATTATGCCTTTATGCTGCGTCCACGGTGGATTAATCCAAGTTGTATGCCTCCTTACACCATATACCTGCTATAGTCAATGCTATTGATAAATATTAATTTACTCCAACTTTGTCAATTTTGCAATCAGAAAAAAAAACGATTTCTGCCTAAACTAAATTATTTTGTGTTGTCCGAGCGACTAAGTCCAAGTAGTAGGTTCCTACCAATATTATTTGTTTGAGGAACTCTTGTCGTACGCGATCTACCAAACTTGTTTTCAAGTAGTGCGCGATCTACCAAAAATAGTATTTAATTTCCGTATTATTTTCATCACAACGAAATAATAATATGCAAAGATTATACAAGTATTATTTTTATAAAATACCTTAAACTAAAAATGTTTTTTCATGTCTTAAAGAAAATCGTCAAATATTGAATCTACGGACGGATGAAGTGATCGCCAACACTCTTCTTTCAACTGCCTTTCGAGTAAAGGTGAAGCTCCGTTTACTTTTATACCGTATCTTTTCTTCACAATACGCCGAAGACCCTCGATTGACTGAGTATGTGCTCCTGTACTTGGATCAATAAAATTTAGACTATGATTTAATAATCTAAAAATTAATCTTAAAATCGTAAATTATCTTGGCACCGCTCGGCGCACGGAAAACCAGTAGATCGCCGATTTAGGTAGATCGTGTACGACATCATCACTACCTTGTTTAATTGCTATATTGAAATGGCTGCTTTGAGTGACGATGTATATTATTCATAAATCTAGTAGAAACTCAAGACGAACCCCGGAGTGAATGAAGGTGTATATTATGTGGCCTTTCTACAACGCCGTACGTCGGCGTACGACCATAATGTGATATGATTGAAATGCATTAAAAGATGTATAATCCTTAACTATAAGATTCAGAAAACATCAGTGGAGTTACTGAAAAACGTATTTAGAGGTTTACAAAATATTATGAATGTAAGAACACTTTTAAACATTAAATTCTTACAATAATCTGTAGTAGGTATGGGTAATTGAATAGAAAAAACGAATTAGATAAATAAAAATCATTACAACATTTAAATGTCTCGTAACTAAAAATTATAAATTAAAAAATATAACAAATAATATGAATATACAAAAAAAGGCTACCCAGATCCTTATCTAAATAGTCTCTTTGCAGGTGTGTACAATACGTCATAATTGTCTAATTAACTTTTTAACTTAACTAGTGTAATTGACTGTTGAAATGACTTAGCTTATACATTATGTACAAATATATTAATATATTAATTTAATTCAAAATACTCAGTATTATAGTATTATACCAACTATTAGTTTTTCCCTTTATTTAAATAATTGAAAAAAAATTCTATATATTCTAAAAATGTACTGAGTATAGTCGTATAGATCGGCTGGCATGTTATTTCTTTTTTTTATAAAAGGAGATCGATAAATATAATAAAGTATTATTTATATTTATATGGTGATAAAATGTATTCATGTGCATATTTATTATAGTGCAGAGTAACTAAAAAGTAACACTTTTCAACTATGTATATTTAATTCAATATTCATCAATGAATGGATAATCCTTAAAATGCATGTTCCTAAAAAATATTTATAAACATTTTTAATATTGGTGAATACATTTGAAAATATATTTTAAACTTTTAAGTAGTAAATAATATTTTAGATACCCTTTCATGTGCACAAAACGGCCGTTGCAATCGAATGTATCAATTTGATCAATATCCTCTTGTTCAAGTTCAAAGTCCCATACCTCAAAGTTGGATTCAATACGACTCTTAGTTACGGATTTCGGAATAACCATAATTCCTCTTTGAATTTGGTATTTTATTAATATCTGAGCCGAAGTTTTATTATATTTTTCAGCGATTTCAATAATTTTTGGATCTTCTAAAAGAGTCGGGTCTTCAGGTTTTTTCCATGGGTTATCTGGACTTCCTAGTGGACTATATGCAGTTAATATTATGTCATGCTCGTCACAAAATTCTTTTAATTTCTTTTGGGTTAAATAAGGATGGCATTCAACCTATAAATAACAAAAAAGTATGAATTATACGAGCTCTACAAATTCCAGGTGAAATATAAGTGTATACGTACTTGATTGTTTACAGGTTTCACGGTAGCCACATCTAATATTTCTTGAATTTGTCTTCTATTAAAATTTGATACACCTATTGATTTGGTAAGGCCATTTTCTACCAATTCTTCCATTGCTTTCCATGTATCAATATATGAACCATTACCTTCAATTGTGTTACCGTCATCGTCTTTTGGAATGAAATCATCATTTAATCCGCCCTCCTAGTATTATGTTGCAGTAGTTTTACTATACGTATATAGTGGTACAAATATTGACGGTGTCTTTAGACACAATATATACTTACTTTGAAAGCCATAGGCCAGTGAATCAAGTATAAATCCAAATATTCAACTTGTAAATCTGATAAAGTTTTTTTTAACACAGTTTCTACAATATCAGGTTGATGAAAAATATTCCATAACTGAACACAGGAAAAAAATGTATAATATTGTATAAATGTTTCTATATATCTTTAGAATTTATAATGTAATTATTACTTTGCTAGTAATGAACATATCTTCACGAGCTACTACACCTTCATCAATTTTCTGATTAATAGCATCTCCTATTTCTCTTTCATTTCCATAAAACATTGCACAATCAAAATGTCTGTAGCCTGTATCTATTGCAACTTTCACTGCTTCTTCAACTTCTCCAGGTTTCGACTACATTATAAAATTATAATATACATAAAACTCACATCCCATATATTTCAACTATATTAACATTATACGTGATACGTTTACTTATTGTCTTACCTGATCTAAATAAAAATAATCATATGGTATACGCAAATGAAGTTATATCTGATTTACAGCTCACATACGTCATCATTAACGTTATTTTAGTGAATCACATTAAAAACCGTATGAAATGAGAAATGTTGAGAGTTACAAAATTAATTGGACACGTGATATTATGAATTACGATTATAGTTTATCTGTGACGGAACGAGTCCAGTTTTTTTTGTATTTATTAATTTGTCAGCGAGTTATGACATTAAAATTTGTATGTTACCTATGAGATTCACTAGATGATATTCCTACTTTTAAATTTAATGATCGTTAATTCAGTCATTAATATTAAACATAACTTAGTTAAATTAATTATTAGCACAATTGTATACGTTATGCGCTTATAAGACGAAAATGTGGATGTAGCGTTCAATTAAAAAGTTGTATAAGACCTTAAATGAATTAGTGAATTAATTAAATCAGGTTTTTTTTTATAGTTTAGAGAGGTCATAAATTATGTTTTCACTGGTTTCTGGGGTAGAAAAAAAACTACTGAAAATATCGAAAAATTGTGAAATTTATTACACATCCGTCCATACCCACCTAATATTACCGACAAGTTCAACACAAAAGACTTAAAGACTTAATATTCTATTGTAAGACAGAGACACCTACCTATTTTTTTTTTTTTTTTTTATTAGCTTTTTATTTTAAATCTAGCTCAACTATAACAATACACCTACCTATTAATAATTTATAAAATACTACTGTGCAAAATATCATCAAAAGTATTATTATATTATTAGTGTTTGTTAAATATAGACTACACAAATAGGTTTTAGTTATAAAATAATTTTTTTAATAATTTATGATGAATCTCTGTAAGCTTAAGTTTTTACTATGTTTCACTAGCGAGATATATTAGTTAATAAACCTTGATGGGATGACGTAGTTATCCTAACATTTAAAAATTAGTGAAAATCATTAAATAACATTACTTAATCACAATAATTACAGAAAGTTAATAAAAATTCCTATTTTAAAAAATTTTATATGAAGTTTTGACACGTATTTTTAGTATTGTCTAAATTATATTAGTACAGCATGTTCAATATGTATTGTTATGAAATTGAAATCGCTTGTGTATTTTTGCTTAATATGTATATTTGATTTGAAAATATTATGATTTTAATTGAAAAAATAAATTAAAACCAGTAGTTATGTACATTTTTTAAGAAAATATAGGTATTTTAATCATTTAATATAATAATATAATAATATTAATATTAATAATTACCTTCCATGTTCCAAATCCTAAAATTGGATACTCTTGACCATTATTAAATGTTACAAATTGATTATTTGATGCCATGTTTTCCAGTAAAACTATTTCGTTTTAGTTTTTAAAAGGAAATTTTTAAGTTTCCAATGAATTCGCCAAGTGTAATGTTTAAATAATGCAACGTAAACAACAGTGGAATGTAAAAGCCTTGCTGTGCATCACTGTACATTGATGATAAACTGAACAATGAACAGTGAATACAGGCATTTTTATTGTTGCCATAATTCATTTTACAATAGGGGTAGAGCAATCAATTTCAAGTATCTTATTGTTATGTTGTATAATTGATCTAATATCTTACAATTTATACAAGATAAATAATAGAATTTGAGGCGTATACAGTTTTACAGAATACTGTTTTGTATTTGCAGTGTTAGCCTTTGAAATAGATTTATCATAATATCAAAATAATTGTAAAATATTTTATTTTAGGCTGGAAAAATAAAATAGAATAGTTAACAATGCAATGATGTTGTCTATCATAATTAAAAACATTATCAACTCGGCAATACCCAGTAAAGTAGTATGACAGTACTCACTACTCAGTATAACAATTAACATAGTTTTAAACTCATTTATATACTTAGTCGAAATATTTATAATTCTAAAAGAATATTACGTAGTGTTTTAGCAGAACACGCCGAGAGAAGCCGATCGAATAACCTAATTGTGTATAGGGTAATTTATTACTGTTTATAGAAAATGCATTAATATTTAATTTAATGAAATTAATTTTTTATTGGTAAAAATATCTGTATGCCAATATGAAGCTGTTTAACGTCTTTTTCTATAGGTTAATAAGTAATTTAAAATGCATCATATATCACAGTTTTATTTTATTACATGTGTTGCGTAAAAAGAAAATATTCACATACAATTTGTTTACAAAACCATGTAATACATTATACTATCTTGCGTGGTTAATTTTAACTTTTTTAATTTTCTAATTCATATAAAATATAATAATATGATCTTACTGGTAGAATTTCTATTGTGTTCTAGAAAAACATGGGGTTCTATTTAACCATTCTTATTTAAAAATTCAGTTCGGTATTTTGATGTGTTATGTAGGACGTACGAGTAGCTACTCTGTATCAGGTAGGTTAATTTCTTCATACTAGCAATTCTTTTCTTTTCTTCAATATTATAATAGTACAATACTGAAACTAATTTAAATACTCATTTGCCCACTTTTTACAAAAATAACATAAGAAAGGATTACATAATATTTTATTTAGCGATTCACTCAAATGTGTTTATTATATAATATTACATAATATTATACATGGTTTATGGATAAATTGAATTTTTTTTAACAGTTAGGTAAATGTTTATTTAAAAAATGTAAATACATTTGGAAACTCAATTTTATAAATAACTAATTATAAATAATTAATATAACTCTGTAACATATACAAATATAATTATTTTATTAAATTATACATTATACAAGTGTAGGCAATTTTCTTATACTTTGTAAAATATATTTTTTTTTAAATGCATCGGTTGAATTTATAATATTTTACAACTCATAATATTATATAGATTTTAGACTACTTATATGTCTAATAGTCTTGGTTACGATTCAATAAATAAATAGTTAATATTAAATATTTCTTTGAGAATTCAAGAATTTAAATCATGAGAAATTCTATTCATATATTTTATTTACAAAACGATTTACATATAAAATAATTTTTAATTTACTAACGACGAGAATGCCGATAATGAAAGAAAAAATATTATGTAGATATATTATGAATCTTGTAATATCTCTATTTAAAATACATGTATAAATATAGGTAGGTACATAAGTTTGGCATTTACGCTATCGTTTATTACTTTACATATTTTATCATTGACGCTTATTCAGAATATGATCAATTAATATTATCATTAATCCAATCCAAGTATCGAGTGACCCTTGTATATACACCCGGATAGCCAGGTTCACCACATTTGTTACCGAATGATACAATACCAATTTGTATCCATCTACCATCTTTTTTTAGCATTAGTGGACCTCCAGAATCTCCCTAAAATAATACACTTTTTATAGTACACTTTCTTAAGATACTTTTAGATTAAGATTTACCTGACAAGCATCTTTTCCTCCTTCTTTCAATCCTGCACAAATAAAGTCTTCATTGATTGGTTGGAAATAAGTCCTGTCACAGTCGTTATTATTCCATACAGGTAGATCAACTTGTCTTTGTACAGTACTCTCTTTACCACCTGTATAATAATTAATTTTATATAAATTGTATCTTATCAATTATGGCTATTTCAAATTTAATTTACCATAGTACGTAGTACCCCATCCTACAACTGTTGGGCTCTGTCCAACAAAAGTATCTGACTTAGAACTTTTAGGAGGCAAACACAAAGGTATTGTGTACTTGCTCCTTTTCACAGGTCTATCTAATACGAGGATTGCAATATCATTATAAAAACCAACTCTGGAGAATTTGTTATGTCCACGAACTTCGACAACATAATATGTTTCGGGAGACGAAGGCTCGTCATCCCTGCGTAGGTCTACGTCACCCAGTCGAACTGTAAATTGTCTGGCATTGAAACTGAAAAATAAAATTCGTCAGAAATAAATTATTTTAGTCTATCAATGATTTTTTTTTTATTATGATAAATAGTTTTCTCGACATGTTTATCTAAAATTAATTCTACCAACGAATAAAACATACGGCATTTGTCTATTATCTCGTGTGCAATGAGCAGCTGTAAGAATATGTCTTGGTCCAATTAATGAGCCTCCACACCAAAATTCAGTTCTCCTGGGACCGTGTAAGAATATAGCAGCCATCCATGGCCATCGACCTGGTAAAGCTTCGTCTCCTCCGACTACTCGGAACTTTGGTACTTCAGGTCGTCCACAGTCTAATTTTAAATTAACCATGTATATAAGTTATCCGTTCAAAAAGTATATGAAATTATTATGATTTAATTTTATAGTTCGGTCAGAAAAACTGGAGTTTGTAAAATTATTTCTTATAATTTATAAGAGCATTTTTCCACTGAAAATAATTGAAATATAATTTGAAGACAAGTCTACTGCCAAGTTGGTTGCCGTATATTAAGTCCTGCTGTAAATACTATTAATCAACTACGTGTGAAATAAACAAATTTACTGAAGCTTGAAAAATACCAACTGCTACTTTGATATGAGGTTTTACGGAAAATCATTGTTCCGAGTCCATACTAAATCCGAGTTTAATTCTATCACACAATTAGAAGTATATGCTTATATTTATGGCTCATTTCAATCATGGAATTTTTTTTTTTTGATTTTAAATCTATTTTTTTATTACTATAGTGTAATAGCATGTATAAATGTTTGTATCGTATTATTATAATGAATGCATAAACTCATTGTCTTTTAAAAATAATATGATATTGATTTTTTTTTCAAGAATGAATTACCTATATAATGATATGCATTGTAAACATAAAAATTATAATCTAGGCGTGTATAAATTTATAAATTTATTATAAACTATTTTAGGCTTTGAATCGCTTAATCGTCAAGCACGGATCAAATAAAACTCCCAATCACAATTTATAAACATATAGAAATATATAGAAAATATATTTTTTTATTATTATTATATTATTATATTATTTATCAATTATATTTACCTTCATCAATATTATTAGAAGACACCAAACTTGTAGTTGGTTTGGTTGCTACTTGTATTGGTGCTTTAGTAGACAACGTGATAATATTAGCTGGTGGTGGTCGAGTGGCCGAGGGTGGCCGAGTGTTTATTGGGGGTCTAGTGACTGTAGTTTGAGTCACAAAGTGTTCAGGTTTCGAAGGTTTTTCAGGAACTTGTCTATAAGATAATAAAAAATACAGTTAAACAAGTGATTCTATTTTTTCCTATATAGTTATGTTATATAAATGTATTTAAGCATTTAAAATGCCATTAGTTTAAATCTGTTGAATAAAGATTCGTTTAAATTGTATTACATAAGATATAGGTACCTACATAATGTGTTTTAAAATTAATGTCCTAACCTACAATACATATGAACTGTGATTTTTTTACTTACATGAAGTATATTTTCATTCAATGTTTTTCTTTTCAAAATTTATTTTATGCTGCAGCATGTTATTAGACAAACAATGCAATTCTTAGTTACATTTTAAACCTTAAAAGTATTTAATTTAATGCGGTAGTAGAGTGGATAAAACTAAATAGCGAATTGTACTTAAAAACACAAAAATAGAAAGTTAGAAAAACTGATCATGCTTAAAAACGAAATAAAAATTGAACAACTATTATTATTTAAACTATTTAAAAGTACTTTTATACGGGTAATGTTTTTATACATCAGTAATTACGGTAGCTGTAAAATTAATTGTTGAATTGACCACAGATTCGTGCTTTCATAAAATTCGATTGTTATAATACCTATGTAATAGATGAGTGACCGCATAAAATGTTGAAACTTAAAACGCTATTATACCAAGAGCAATTTCTCTAAATTGACGACATTTTTACTTGAATTGTAATTAACAAATGACTTTGGGGTACTTGCATTACTTTTTGACCACGTACTAATTTCCGTCATTTACCTATTGAATATTAAAAAATGAAAAATGTAGTTCGTAGACACAATGGAATTATCTAATATACTATTTAAGAGTGAAAACGAAAATCATGTCAAACTCGATACAATAATAACTGCGGAAGTGTTTGCACAACAGTGTTTCAACACATGCGCGTTACATATGAGAATTTCCTAATTTATTTTGATACATATTTTTCGCTGTAATTAACCCGTTTTATATGCATGTGAATAAATAATATATTATTTTTGTGACGTGAAAATGAAAAGTGAAAATCAATGTTGTTTGATTAGATAGTCAAACACGCATAGACAGGCGTGTTATTAATAAACAAATGAAATTTATAGTAAGCGCGTTAAATAGAGCGCAATAGCGGTTACAAATCGAATAGCCGAGTATTGTTTTTTTGTCCTTTCTTTATCCTTTCGGTAATGTTCGGCATGTCGTGCATAGACGCGACTGTTCACTTGTGTACCTATATCGTAATCGCAAGAAAGCGCGCGCGCGTGAGGACACGGTGAATGTGGTGGGCAAGGTCATCGGCAATTAAGTTTTACGCATGAATAAGACAAACGGACGAGATAATGGTCTAAAGAAGAATAATATAGTGTATATATGTATATATTATTAAAAATCGTTTTTCCCTTCCAATTGGATTACTTTCTACTCGCATGCTGTGTTGAAACAAAAAATGTCCATTGACGATTTCCAAAAAAAAAAAAAATTCGCGCGTAGGTTTATGTGTGTAAATATTATGAACTGTAGTTGTAATATTTATTCTGTATAAAATAATTTTTATTAGCTTAGAAAATCATTTAAGAAGATCAAATAAGGGCTGATCATAAGTACCTATACATTAAACTCGGTATATACAAGTAGCTTTGGTCAATATATTTTATTTCGATACGATTAAAAAAAGTATTGCAGAAATGTTGATTAGGTGATAATAAATATTACAATGCACACACGCAGGACGTATCAAAGTTAAGAAATATATTAAGTCCAAATGTGCAATAATTGTTTTACATTTTTAAGTAGAGTGAACATTGATTTGTGGGATGTATGAGTTTTTTGAATCCACTTTAACTATCTTATAGGTTGTAAACTTCTAAAATCTCTTATTAAATATACTTACTGTCAAGTGTTAAGTATTTTAAAAATGTAAATTTTAGTTTTATTTTTTTTAGTCCTTCCGGTTAAGTTATAGGTACTAAGAAATAGTAAATACTTACTGTTCAGATGTCTTTTTTGGGCAACACACGCCTGGCACGAACAGATTCTTAAAGCATATAGATTGTCTAAGATGCCCTAAGTTGAGCAACAGCTGTGGGCAGTTGCTAAGGTCTTCGCAGTTTCCCTGAGAACCATCCGGTGTAGAGCACGGTCTATTGTCCTGCGACACCACCTTGCCTGAACCCAGACTCACCAAGGGCTTAACCACCATGTCAGTCATATTTCGACCAAGCACGTTCTTGCTGATAGTGAATATTGCAGTTGGCAGGTCACCTTGTTTCTGCAAACCTTCTCCTACATCAGTATTCGTCAACCAATTTCAGTTGACCCATCCGGTTTAATACGGAAGTCAATTTATTTATGTTATCTTTAATTTGATAAAGTACCTGTTGAATTGGCCCCCTAACTTATACGTGCCAAAAGTAAGTAACTTATATGAATAGACTATGTTGAATGTTCACCATTGACTTTTGAATAATTATAGGTAGGTAATTTAAAATCCATATTTTATTTTTATAATTATAGATACTATAGGTGATTTAAAATTTTTAAATTCTTATAACAATACTTATTTTCTAATCTTAAAGATATAATAATTGTGTATTCCGGGGCACAGTAAGAATATTTGGTAATTGAATGTAGACAGTGAAAAAATGAGACACTTCTTCCTATTTGTTCGTATGAAAAAAACTAAGGTGGTGAAAAAATATCTATTGGGATTCATACTTTATAAATTATAAGAGGTTGAAAATATTATTTTTATAAGTTAATTCGAAATTATTGTTAAAAATGTTGATAAATTATGCATAAAATATATATTAATAATAATATATTACCTAAGGTTATTGTTTTATTCTCTATAAAGATATACTTACTTACTGGATAACTCTGTGGGTTGTCAAGTCGATCATCCGTGGTTCCCCGTGTGTAATTAACTAGGTACCTCCCCACAGTGTTGATAGCGCCAAGAGTTTCTGAAATTTTGGCTATGGCTTGTGGAGATAAATATCGAGCTTCTTCCGAACCGACAGGCGGATATTCAGTCTGTTCCTCAGGTAGAGGTCCTTGGAACTCGGCTGGTAATTTGGCACGTCTACCCGATTTAGCGCTTCTACCTTCTTCTTGGTATGTAACATCGCTATACCCTGCATGATCCTGATTATCACTTGTTGGAAAGTGGAAAGATTCTCTTACAGTTTGTCTAGGTGGTCGATTTATATTATACTGATGTCTACCAGTAAAATCGTAAGCTGTCATAAAATATATAAATCATTAATAAATTAGAAGAAATTCACAATATTACACTGACAATTAAAAATGTTAGTTGTTTATGGTTTACATGTATTGAAATTCAATAGAAGATGTTCTATAGTTGTGGGGAGAGGAATGCCTCTAAAGAACAAGAGTTGCATTTAAATGTAAATATTTTTTAATTCATCCAAAAATAAATATATTTGAAAACTATACCTACTGTCTTAGTTCTATTTTAAAAGAAATGTGGAGAAATAGAGCTGAAAGGCATTAAACAAAATTGTATTCAGATAAAAAAAAATTTCAAATTAAAATAATTTGTAATCATATACCTCAATAAACAAACTAATCTGTATGATGTGTTGACTAATATGACATGTATCAAAACGCAGTAGGTATTGTTAGATCCCCAAAACAAACATCATTAACTATAATAATGAAATGGAATCAACTTCTTGGTTCCCGCCGAGCATCTGATATAGGTAGGTAACTAAATATATTATTTGTAATTGGTAAATGGTAATTATAGCAACTATCCATATAGTTGGGAGCCAGCAAGAGCGTAGAGGAAGAAAAAGAATTGGTAATTATAGAAGATGATTATTAATTACCACGGGTTGTTTTATTAGAAATATTATTATTTGAATGGGCAATAGTAGGTATAATAATTATTATGATAACAATTCATATAAATGACTCACCACTTATCACTTTCTCCTCAAGTTGGTACCCACTACTATAATACTACAGTCTACAGTCTACAATACACATAACACAGGGACATGATATACGAAAATAAGTTTTATAATATATATATATTATATATATATACTTATAATAAGCACCTAATAATTAATAAGCCTTATTTAGATTAAAAGATAAATACATATTTTGTCAGGTTATAGTCAGTCAAACTTGCAACAAGTAGAATTTATTTTATTTATTAGAAATGAAAAGTTTAATGGGAAATAACATTATATGCTGTTAATTATATTTAACTATTCAAGTAAAAGTAATGTTATATTCTCATATTTTTACATGCCTCTTATATCTGTTTTGACTGCCACATAGTTAATTAATCACGGGTCATTTCTAAGACCTTTACACTCTACATCTGCATATTACTAACAAACGGCGATCTCCCAGGCCAATTATTGTATGAGGAATTAGTTTGCTGATCATGACCTAACCTAATATAACCACTCAACGGATCTCCTTCTAACTATTTAGGTTGGTTATTCTATTTTAATAGAAAAAAAGGGCCAATGTCGGTTATTAATAAATTTCCAAAGTTAAAATTACTAAAAAATATCTGAGAAAATATCGAATTTAATTATATATGTATATTTGTATTACTCTGTGTAAATTATTAAATGATTTATAAATGTTCGATCAATAGTTATTTGATGTTCGCATGAAAGCGTTTACAGCCTGCTGACAGAATAGTTTTAATTGATCATACAAATTATTTTTTATTGTAGAATTATAAATAGTTTCAGTAGGTGCTTCAATGCTTCATTAAACATTTATTAATGATACGTATTTACATCATAATAACGATTAAATGTAAGTATATGTTGTTTGTATAATGGTAAGGTAATATACCTAACGTTTAAATAATATAAGTGAGAGCTACTTTTTTTTTTTGTTCAGATTTGGTGTACTGCTAATTATATGTATGAACGTAGGCGCTGCGCCGATGGTTATAAATTTGCGATCAGTTTAGGTGAGGTACAACAAGAATAAAAATAGATAATAATAATCATAAATAAAAATAAAATTCAAATAACTAAGTATTATACTTGACACATATAGAAAGTTATCTGTTTTTGTGCCCCCCACACACTTACATAGGTATCATTAGACAATTTCGGACGCCCTATAGTGTCGCAACCGCAAAACCGACGAAGAATGGAAAAAATTAGATGGAAATCTATAGTGTGAGAGTGAATTCAATCGTCGATAAGATAACGTCGGCCTACTTTGATATTAGAAGTAAATTAGCAACACTATGGGATAACTAACTGACTAATCACCGATCAGTTCTCTGGACGGTTCCACGAAACATTGCGTTTGTATGTATTATCCAAATAAAGCTAGGCGCCCTCTAGTCTATTTCTCAGCAATGTAACTTTCATGTGATAATTATTGAGATAGCCGATAAGAGATATGTGTTTGTTTAATCAGTGGGTGAAATAAGAAAACGGTTTTACACAAAAGTTTTCTGTGCGTTTTATCACAGTTCAAATCTATATTTATTACATACAAGAAACTGAGACATGTAAAGGACTTTTAAATGCATATAGGTACTGTAGCCTATAGGTGCCTATCTCCTTATCAGTTTCAATTCTGATTTCACTTTAATGGGCACTTTTATATTGTAATAGATAGGGCATACAATTTTAATTGAAGTATAATATGTCAATAATATAAAATATTACTTTCGTATTATTAACACTCATCTATATAATGGTTTAGTTTATGTATAAACAGCGAAGAAGTTAACATTTGTAATATAATATATTACTCTACATGTATGCATTGCTTTAATTATCTATACGATATGATCATTTTAGAACTTCCTAATCATTATGATTTAAAAGTAAAAAAAATAATAGTTTTTGTATGATATACGTGTTCATTATCCAACATTTGTACATATCTAATTTATTCTATTGTAAAATAAATGCACATAAATGTACTGAGCTAAATATTCTAGTTTAACGTAGTTAAATTCATTACTAGTTTTTTAGTTAAGAATTGAAACAGAATGGTAATAAATAATAATAAGAAGTATTCAATAATATTTAATTTTGAGTTTTAATTTATAGTAGTTAGAGTGAAATAATGAATTGCAACTACTTATATAGTTTATTTTTAGAAATAGTAAATTTTGATTTTATGCGTATGATTGGAATAAACATTGCTCAGAAATAAACGATATTTACACCTGAAAAACTTTCACTCGTTTGGTTGCATCCGAGGCGTGGTGTATATTTTCTTTCTAAAAAACAACAACAACCCACACTAATTAGTAGCCAGTTACATTATATTCTCACAAATTACTATAAAAATATTATATTATAAGAAAAAAAAACGTAAGCTAACTTTAAGTAATATTAAAATGTCCATTATATTTGTTAGGGTATATTTGCTTATTAATTAAATTTTTCCTTCATACCTATTTAAAGTGGTTTTTATATCATATAAAACATATTTTTTCCAATACGAAAATTCAAAGAGTCGACATTATTATTCATGTGTCTATCAATCATTTATTTAAATGCTATTCTATCTGGTGATCATTCATTGCTACTGTTTACGCTCATAAATAGAATGTTACAAGCTAACATTAATCATGACACAGTTTGACTCTGTATATGACGTAGATACGAGTCGTACGAGTAGTTTGTATTTTTCTTTCTATATAAATCCTAATTGTTTTCATGGAATGTGTCAATCCTATATGCAATAAGTTTTACGCTTAAGATTAATTGAGTAGATTTTAAATCATTTATAATAAAAAAATATTTTGAAACGATTGATTACTATTTATTGAATATTAATTATACTATTATTCATTATAAAATAATATTCTAAAAAAAAAACTTTTTTTTTATAAGAATGGCATTTAATGACTAAATGTGACAAGTGAACTAAAATTAAATCTTTACATAGAAATACTGTTGATTGTTTATTTGTTTTTGTATTAAAAATGTACACATTTATTCAATGTATTCAAACTATTATTTTTTGGAATTTTGAAATGATGTAGATAGTTATCGGATCTATTAAACTAAATTGACTTCCTATATAACATTTTTCTTTTTTGAGGTTATTTTCATTTACCTATACATTATGATGATATTTAGTAATGTAAAGCGCTCATATCATTATTAGTTAATTTGTATGTTATTACACTATTATTATGGGTAACTAGGTATGGGTTTAAGCTTAAAATGATGTTACTTTCTAGTGCAGTGACTATATAATAATTTAAAAGAATAAAAATTACAAATGAACGTGTAGGTTAAAAATGTTTAGAGACTAAACCTACGTATATATTGTATCAATAAAAATAAACTTGGTTTAAAAATGTTATTCGTAGGTTGTTCAAAGTGAAAATAATGTACAACCAATTGAACTTGCCGAGCGTGTGGCGAACAGTGGACTTGTAACCTTCCTGAACACACTATACAAAATTAATATTATATTTCACCGACCCGACAAAACAGACTGCGTATAATATGTAAATCGGCGTGTTTTTAAAGAAAATATATTACGCCGCCCACACTCATTTACTTTCCATTTTATGCACGATATCCGGGTGCTTTACCGTCAGGTGTTCAGAACAGAGTAATGTCTTTTGTTTTGTAAAAATGTAATACATAGGTAAACAAATATATAAACAAATGTAATAATAACAATAATGATACATCGCAGCAATAATGGTTGGTTTGCCTTTTGATTATAGGCTTGTTTTTAATTGAAAAATAAATAAATACACCAACATAATTAATAATATCTAAAATAACAACGATTAAAATTGAACTACCGTGTTATATAAACATTTTAAATTACTTATACACAAAAATTAATTCCTATGGGACATCAGAGAAAGTACGACAACATAAAAATCGGAAATGCAGTTCCCGTTTATCAGTGTAATAATATGTAATATTATATGAACGCCAAAATAAACATAATTGTTTTTCCTCTCACACGCGCGTTGCTTTTTACTTTTCTCTCGTCCGATACATCCGTTACATAATGTCACACACACACACACCGGTTGTGCAACTATTTGTGACTTCTTAGAAAAAAAAACGCATACGGGACAATCGTGATAGGTGCGGAGAAAAAAAATCGTACCCACCTCATAGGTTTTTCTACCAAAACATTTTTGGTTGGAGAAAGTGCCGGAGGTCAATATATTACGCAACTATTATTTTTTAGAATTACCGTCAGGGTGATAATGACCTAGATGGACGTATATTACATAGTTCGTACTATTATTATTTTATAGGTACCTAATTTATTTATGTATAATATACACGTATAAGGATATGAATCATCGGAATTACCTTGTGAATAACTGTTTTCAAAATGACGAACTGCAACACCAGCTTTTACGGTTAAGTAACATATCCCTGAAAAAAAAATTGTCATTTGCTATTATATTAATTAAACATTAATAATAAACATTTTTTTGTTAGTCAGTAGTCGTCTATAACATTATTATTATATATAATGTTTGTTCGAAAATCTCTAATTTTAAAAACACAAAATGTACAATTTATAAAACGTTATAATTATATGATATGCCAGTGTTAACAAAATAAACATTTATTATTTTACAAGATTAAGACAATAATTATAATGTAATATTACGTATTTACTAAAATTGGGCTTAAATTAAAAAACTATAACTGCTCCTTGGTTATTTTTTCAAATTAGTTAGTTAATACATTATGTCTTTTTTAATGAATTGACTTAGAGTCATAATACCTATATTAAAGTAATGCAGTAATAATTATTGACAGCTGTACTTAAATTTGTTATACAGGTATAAAGTTAGTTACGCAACACTGTCTTTTTACATTGGTTGGTTAAATGTATACTTAAATGTTGGGTTTAATGTCATAAATAAAAAAGTATTTAAATCTTAGTTTGGTCGTGGAAAATATTATTATTACCTATTTAATATATATTTCTGAATGTCATGTATATATATTCAATGTACATATTGTTCTGTGATATGTTAGAATACTAATTAATTTAATAATACATAATATATATATAGTATATCAATAGGTTCATCATATTTTTTTTGATATATTAAACAACATATTTTTTATAATTCAATATGATAATAGAAATCGTTAAAATAATTAGGTAAATATTTTATTTTGCAAATTTTAACAATTTTGCTCATATTTAACATTAAGCTATCAAAAATTAAATACCTATTGGTTATTGCATTTTTTTAATCCAGTTATTGTAATCTACCAGGCATTCTCAGTAGGTACTCATTCCATTTTACCTTATAATAATGAATTTATTCAAATTTAAATTAAAAATAGTTCTTAAAATGGTTTTACATAAAATGTTTGTGGTCATTTTATTATTCTAGTACTTACTGTAAGTATTATACTCATGAAAATTGTCATTGTCAATGATACAATGGTCAATATTACTAGATTAATATTATAAGTAATAAATATTTTTATTTTATCATAATATGTTATTGTTATGGACTATTTATCCTCAGTACTTTTATTAAAGATTAATAATTTAGAAAACTACTAGCGTTTGAATATAGACTTGCATACACGTGATATAAATGAAATAATCGGCTAAAAAAATTACAGCAGAATTGAGAATTGGGGGGGGGGGGGGTTTTCCCTTTTAAAAAAAAAAAAAAAAAATAGATGGGTTCACATTTGAAAAAAATAAAAACAAATTTGTATCGTCACAAGGAATTCCTATGATGCAGTACCTATAAAAAAAATATAGTTACTTGCCTATTTAAAAATATGGTTTTTAAGTAAATCTAGTATAAAATTCGAAAAATCAAAATTTAAATAAATGTGTTTAATAAATAATGAAACTGAGATAAGTATACTTTATGAACCACACTGTGTATAATTCATATTATGTAATATATATGTATTACTTTTTGGCTTAGATGCATTCATATATGATATATATGAATTATTTATCAACTACCTACTATTTAATAAATCGTACATAATAATATAGGTACGTGATTACTTTAATAAATGTATATAGTATATACTTTATAGGTACTGATGTTATGTTGTGTCTCACTGTTATTGAAAAGTTAAAAGGAAATTAATAATAATATAATAATCTTTTTAATATCCATAATTATTGGAGGAATTTAAACTAATAGCGGTGAATTTACGAGTCTTAATAAATTACATATAGGTATACTAGTTAGTTATTATAATAGAGACTTAAATTTACTAAAATATACCTTAAAGCATTTTAAATAAACTGTAACTGTCATAATCATACACACAATATATATATTTAATCAAAGTGCGCATTGATCGTATATAGTCCGCTAACTTAAGAGTTAAATAAAATGTTTATAAATAAAATTGTGAACTCACTTCGGTCTTGTAGTTCATACAAATAACACGGAATATTGGACGAAATCAAATAATTTGTGTCATGTGGAATTTAATTTATGGGGCAGAGAAAATGATCCAAAAATACGGTGTGAATATTGAATACATTATTATAGATGATGAATGACATGCAAATGTAAAATTGGTATATAGGACGACGTACCTAAAATCTACTTGCACAAGTTATTCATAAAAAATTATCATTTTAATACAATCAGAAATAATGTCTACGTGTACTTCAATTTCGTTGCAGTAACATATGGAATATGGTAACATAACAAAGTAGAAAATAAAAGGTTTACAGAAATCTTATTACGGATCGCATTAGTTATTACTTTATTAGTTTAGTGTTTTAATATTTTAAGACAATACCTTATGTAAATATGTCAAAATATAAATATTACAATCCCACCTAAACTATTCTATGTTATTCATTGTGTAGGCATGACATGTTGGCCATGCACGTGTATTAAACAATTAACAAATGTTTTACTTATTGACTCATTGATATTTTTTTTTTTTATAAACTTTGTTTTAAATTTAAATATTTATAGGTATTCATTTGATGCAATAATATCTTCTTTTTAAGAATTCATTTATTAGGTAGGTAATACAAATTTGTTAAGGTTTTTATAGCTAAAATTAAATATTCAAAAAAGGAATTTTTATAATAATATTCGTATTTTTAGAATTAATGAAATTGTTATTATATTAAGTATTATACTAAAGGTAGGTAGGTCATAGGTATCATTATACCATTTTCAAGTTAGTATGCATGTAGATATTTGGTTTATGTATCATTATTTATAAATTATAATTATGAAATATAGAAGGAATTACCTTAATTATTAAGAGTTTTAGACCAATAATATAAAAAGTTTAAAGAGTAAATAATTGATTTGTGATATAATTTTAACTTCAATAATATGTCTTGCTATTATTTCTTTACAGAAAAAATACAAGTACAAACATTAAGTTGCAGTTTAAATTGTGTTTAAAAATAAAAGTGTTGGTGAGTAATAAAGCTAGTACATAATAATACATCTAGTTTATATTATGGTCGTTTCATAATATTGATTATATCACTAATAATCACCCTAAAATAGGGTCTATAATATTATATCGTGATTATGGACACGAATAATGGTTTTCATAAAACAAAATTAGGTACGTGTTTAATTTGAAAATCGACTGAATGTCGATAAACCATAACTATTATTAACCATGTTATTAATTCATTTGATACTTTTTAGGTATGACGACACCTTAGTTCTACAGCAATAAAAAACATTTGACGGTTTGAAGTATATTTTGACCGAAAGTGATGTTATCGTCGAAATGGCTGGTGAAAACGAGATTGTCTGAAAGTCGAAGTAAACAATATCCGGGAGATACATCCGCCCACGAAATGGCGTTTTTGCAGCAGTGTAACGCTATACTCATCAATTGTCTTCTCTCTCTCTCGCTGTCTTCAAATATTTACTTGCAGGTGCACACACACACACACACACACACACACACTCACACACATACATACATTACATACGTACACGCACTCCAATATACAATAATATAATATTTTGTGAGTGTGCACGATTATAATATCGGTTTTGTCGACACGAAAAAGAAAACTAGCATAATATATACGTCGTCGTCGTCGTGTGCCTATGTATTATTTTTTCTCTCGCTCGAATATCGGCCCCAACAAGGCCGTTCACGGATACTCGAAGGTCGTGACCAAGATACACATATACGCAACGCATATGCGCCGGACGTGAATAATCGCGGTGAACAAATTATTAATTGGAGGTTATAAACAATAATAACACGTTTCTTGTTGTGTTTCTTCTTCTCGGACGTTTCCTTCCGCGCCAGTGAAAATATCCCTCGGGTGACGTCGCCGCCGCAACAGCGGTCTTTATCGCGCGCTGCACCGTCGGCGCCGGGCGTTCCGCGAGCACGCGCGCGCGAGTCCGCTCGCACCGTACCCGGCGACGTCGTCGGTTTCTACAAGACCGCCAGAGGCGAGGGCAGCGAATTCGTCGCATTTCGGGCCGAAAACAAACGAATGTATAATATTATCGGAGCACACGCATAGGATTAAATATAATATAGGTATATATATATATATTATAATAATTTATAATATTATTGCGACGACGACTGCCAATGCGGCGGCGGTGCAGGTCGCGTTTCCGATTTAATATTCGGCCTATATGACGTTCAAATAAAAAATTAGTTTAGAGGATATTATTTTTCTGCGTCCGACTACGCATACATATATATATATGTGCCTTATAATAGTAGGTATGTAGATACGAATATATTTTAATACATTATCGTTTGCGTCTATTTTTTTATTTTACATATCGCTTTCACCGATGCACAGGAGACCACAGTTGACACAAACAAAGTCTCTGGTTTTATGGGTGTTGTTATAATATGAAAAAAAAAATAAGGACCGGAAAACCTCGAATATTTTTTTGCTTAAGTGCACGACGCAAGTGTGTACCTATACAGTCATGGTTTAGTGATTTTTTAAACGAATACCTAGTTTTTTCACACCGTGGTTTTTAAATGTGGGTGTATTGATATCTTGGATGAACGTTGGACATCCTCAAAATTGTGGGAAGATATACTAAATTATATTACACTCGTATAATATTGTAGTACTTCAAAACTCAAAAGGAAATTTATTAACATTACTTGATGGACGACCATAAAATATAGGTAGGTATTTTACGTTGTTGTTGTATTATACCTATATATTCCTATAGAGGTATACGATACTATAGGATCATGTTTATACAATTCATTTTTATAACTATGATCAACGATTTGTTAACTAGTTGAGAATACAATTTAAAAAATAAAACTATGGTAAGAATAGAGACTATATAAAAAAAATATTTTTTTAAGTATACTAAATACAATTTAAGGTTAAATTGTTGAAAGTATAATTCATTGGTGAAGTGGTGTTACTTAGTATTTAA